TCGCTCTCGTCTTTCGCGCGCCGTTCCGGAATCGAAATACGCGCCGCGCGTATTTGGGAATGGCTCGGCGAAACTGAGCCGCGAAACGGAAAGCGGCACGTGGTTTAATGGGAACGAACGATCGCGGTGAAACCGTTTACCGTTTATTTGATACATTCGCGTTGTCGGTATCGCTGCGATCGTAAAAATACGATAGCCGGGAATCGGAATAAATGTTCGGTCGATCGACGAATCAATTGTACTTCCCAATAGGATTTGACCGGTGGGATAAAACGGTCACGGCTCCACTTTATTTCCGAGTGAGGGAGACCGATTGGCGGCTGGCTGGAGGGAGGGAGGGAGGGAAGTAGCAGGGCCAACAGGCGGGTCGCCGACGGTACATGATTGTTTGACGACGATGCCGCGTCCTTCCGCCCTCGATTTACAACGGGCCATCGAGGAATCGATGGCCATTCGCGTCGTCCGTGCGACAGATGTTGATCTAACTGCGCGTGGCAACCCTTTGTGAAAGCTGCAATTTGCACGCGCCTACCTCGCGATCAGAAAAATATGGGGTAGCGACCAGTGGCGGTTTCTTCTGAACGGAAATACCGGCCAGAGCGCGGGGGATGAAAAGAAGGGCCCGGGGATGTTGGCGAGGGAAGTTTGACGGCTACGTTCGTTGCCGATTGTTCGCCACAGCGCAAAACGTCGTCTGACGAACAAAAGTGAAACGCGAAAATCTTCTATCGATTCGTCGGACCACCATTTCTTCACGTTTTTAATTCCTTTCTATTTTGTATAGTAGTTGCGTGTTTCCTTGGTGGCGTTTTTTTTTCTTTTTAATACGAAGACGTTGATAAGGCAGGTCAGGATACGTGGCTATATTTTATATATTTTTTTCATGCTGCGGACTCGAACGTTGAGCGGTTCTAGGAAATCCACTATTCGGGACACATGGCCAAGCCTGGTTCCGATCGGTGGCTATACATCCGAAGATTACTTTTTTGCATTACTGTACAACGAACGAGGAGCCGTTGACGCGGAGTATTCGAGGTTTCTCGAGCGAAGTTTAACGCTTTAACGGATAGATCGTTTTCATCCTATAATTCGTCGCGGCAGTCATTCCCGGCATCGATTTTACACGCGGGACTTGGCTTCCCGTGACCGAGCCGGCTCCGAAGGGTACGCCGAGGAGTCAGGGGCTTAAGCGGGGAAAGGTCAACGACGATCTGACGCGAAACCCGGTGGTTGCCCGGCTCCCCTCGCGTCGCTCCCACCAGCCGGTTACCCTCGCACCCTCGTTTTTCTCGCCCGGTCCCGAGCGGCCGACGAGGAAGCGACGAAAACGAGCGACGAAGAAAATTCGTCGGAAACGAGCCGCGGAAAGTATCGCTGCGGGAAGTTTATCCCGTTGAGACGTCGACGGGTCGCGGCTTTTTTCCAGCCGTTTTAATATCGACCGCGCGCGCGCCACCCTCGCCGTTCGCTCTTCTTTCTCTTCCTTTCGACGTCCTCCGTTCGCTTCACCGGCGTACATCCTCTCTCGCGCGCTCTCCATCCTCCGTCACCGCCGTACATTCCCTCGCATCGAACGCGGGAATCTCAACCGCCGCGCCGCACCCCGCCGCGGTGTAACGCGTGCACGCTGCACGGAATTTACGACGCCGGGGAATTCGGTTGGACGTAAAACCCTCGCGCGCACCTATGCTTCCCGAATTTCAATTCCGCCTCGACGAATTCCGGTAGCCGGCGCGCATTTATATTCCGGCGAATCTTTTCCTTTCTTTCTACCACGTTACGTGGGAAGAGCCGCGTAATCCGAAATTGGAATTGCGATTCGAAATGAACGCGGTACGAGCGAGCGTTGGCTCTTGGGTCAAGATTTTTAGGAAACCGCTCGCGTTTCGGTGGGAACGATCGATGGCCCACGAGCGCGCAGACCACTTGAAAGTTTTGGCAGCCCGCGACAAGGCACATCGACCTACCGGCCGATCGATGCCTTTTCCACGTACAGAAGCCTCACTCGTGTTTTTCGTAAACGGGCAAAAATCCAGGAGAGGAAAGAGCGAGATCGACTTCCTTCTCCGCTTTCTTTGTGCATCGATCAATCTTCCTTTAGACGACCGAAAAGAATTCCGCTCTTGATTTTTCTATTCTGCCGTACGAAACCAGGGCATTTCGACGCTGTGACTACGAATTTTACGCAAGGAGTTACGCGACGCTACATTTTTTGCATCCAAACAATAATTAATGATCTATCAGTCTTTAAATTCAGTTTTAAGAACGGACACCCTGTATACGAAAACCCCCTTTTCTTATCTAACCGTACGAGTATCGATTCTTAGCTCGAATTCCAAGACGCCGAAGTTATTAGTCGCGCCGCGCGGTGCGAACAACTCGCAACAAACTTTTCGACACGATCCGAGTTTATCCGGTATTATCGTTACTGGGAGACCGTGTTGATCCCTCGAAGTAACGAGTAACGCTGCCAGCCGCGAAATAACTGTAAGCGATAGACAAGGCGAATCGGTCGATCGCACGATTCCTTGATCCTCGTAGAGAACACAGTAAATGTTCCAATTTCTGTTCACGTCACATTTCTACTCACTGGCTTATGATAACATACGGTAGAACAGAAAGAGCCAGCGAGCAGAAATTGTTACGTGAACAGAAATTAGGCCATTTGCTGTACAACATAAACTAAAAGTATATAGGATAATACTGAAACCTTTAGTATAACAGTAATAAAACACTGGCTTATGATTTCGTATATCATGATGGAAAAGAAAGTCAGTGAGTTGTTACGTGAACAAAAATTACGACATTCGACGTAATTTGTTGTAACTGTTCTTAAAATTGTTTTATTATTATCCTACATTCTTTAATCTCTTAGGCACGGCTGAATTTTGCGCGGGACTGCTTCTTTGTACGGCAGAGTTCAGTGCGAATTACGTTTAAATGATACAGCACTGCAATGTGTGATGAATAATGCTGTTCTTTACACGAGTACATTGGAATGAAGTGTTTGATGATTAAATTATAATTTTTCTTAAAGATATGATACACGCATTTTAACTTTAACAATTTATTCTAATAATTAATAATACAATTCAGTATAGTACGTCTTAAAACACGGTAAAACACAAAGACCCGCGAAAGCCACTGTAGTGGCGTGTCGTACAGAAAGCCACTATAGTGGCGCACAGTGCCTAAAAGGTTAATTTATGTTACATAGTAAACGTCCCAATGTGTGTTCACGTCACGATTTCTACTCATTGGTCTCAGAACTTCTATGAGCGTGAGATTTTGCAGCTACTGGAGAGAGGGAGAAAGAACAGAACAACAGCACATACTACATTGGTTAAACGTAATTTTTAGTAAAAAAAAATTGTTCTTCAAGTTTCTTCAAGAAAACGAAATGAACTTTTGCACAGTGCAGTAGAGAAAAGCCAACAAGGAGAAATTGGTTCATTTCCTATAACTTCTTGCCCGATCGTGACGCTAATTACAATTCATATGAAACAGAGCATCGGTCCGAAAGGGACGCCCCGGAAGGTGTAGTTGAATGGTGTCCGGTGAGAACACTTTGGCGTAAAAACAGAGTTAGCGGCGTAATCCTTGCCTGTTTATCCGTCGTCGCCGGTCTCCGGTATCGCGCTCGGATTCCTCCCTCGTTCTTTGGCCAGGACGCGGGAGACGGCGCGGGCGGCGTGCGGATAGAGGGTCACAGGGTCTGTGGCAGCAACGGGGGCTGGATTCGAAGCTCTTCCTGTCTTAGCGGTATGGCGTTACCATAGTAACAGACTGTAAGCCGCTTAACACCACCCTCTACACCCTTTCCACTCGTCGGAATCCTTGCGCTTCCGTCGACGAGTCAACCTACACCCCCTATCGCGCGCGTCATTTTCCCTTTGCTCCCTCCGAAGCCACCGATTTCCTTTCCTCTTTTTCCTCTCCTCTTCGCCGCAGCACGGTTCCGTTCGAAACGGGTCAGACGGTTCTTCCTTATCGCCAACAACCATGCGGAGAAGCTCGTCGCCCAAGTATCTGGCCGAGGGACATCTGCTTACGAGCGGTAGCTCCAGTGGAATAAACGGAGTGCGCGCAGTTTGGCGTAATGGCCTCTCGCGTATCTCGTATCATATGCGCGTTTATTATCGATATCGAGGCAGCCGTCTGCCGCTCGTTTTCACTCCTCGGGTTCGTTTCGTTCGCCTGTGACCTCCCCTGGCGTTTCGAGAGTGGATGGGCACGAAGGGCGGAAAGAAAGGTTATTAAGACGACGGTGAAAGGATCGCGCTGTGAAAAGGGATCGAGGGTGACTCGCGCGCGCGCGAGAGAGAAAGAGAGGCGGAGAGTCGCGTGTCCGTTGAGAAAAACGGCGAGGGTGGAGCGCCACGCTGACGAGGAACGGAGGGTGAAAACCATCCTCGGAATCTCCGCAGAGGGAGGGCGGCCGTCGGGTACTCTCTTTCCTGTTATTTTCTCGTTTTAACCGGCGCACTTTTCCGCGTGCGCGGCGACGAGAGAGAATATCGCCGTTCGTCGTACCTTTTTCTTTTGGCCAGCATCGCTCGGGACAAAGGACCGCCCGGATGCCGACGCGTTCTACCTCGTCCTTGATTTACAAAGAAGAGAAAAAAGTGATCGGGGAGAAAAGCGAAAGAATAAAAGACGAAACGCGGAAAGAATGAATTCGTGGATCGAGTTCTTCCGTCCTCTCGATAGAGATCGATCCTGCTCGGATTTCTTCTGAACCTTGGGGAGGAGGAGGGGGGCGTTGGCGTATTCCTTACGTCGGGTACGCTGCGCTTATTGCCGGGTAAGAACCCCGATAAGAATCGCGCGCAAACCGTTTCAAGCCACAGCGAGAGACTTTCCTCGGTTTTCGGTGGAAAACGCGAACCGCGAATCGTCCGCGGTCTACGTAATCTCCTCGGAATTTGGAAATATATAACAACTGTCCTGAAACAGTGGCAAACGTCCACGTCTGATCGAACTCTCTCAATCTGTTTCAGGTGTCCAACAGCCTATTAGCAACAAAGCGCAACCCCCGGCGATCGGCAAATCCCACAGACCCAGTTCCGTCGTTCCACCTCAGAGTCACACCCCGGGACCCGGGCCGGGCGGACAACAGAACAGCAGGAGTTTCGCTGCCGCTCTGAGAAATCTGGCGAAACAGGCAGGACCGGCGCCTCAGGAAGAAGAACCACGCGCGAGCCCCAAGAACCGAGCGCCGCCACCTTTGGTCAGAGGTCCTTCCCCCGCCAAGGTGAGTAATCGCACCGCGACCGACCTCTCTACCTTCCTTCGTTCCGTCTCTTCGTTTTACCTGCTTCCGTGTGTCTGTCTCGAGTGAAAGCCGAGCCACGGTACTCGATTGCCATCCTTTTTTACCAGTCGCGAACGGATACGTGTCCGTACGCGGTTGATCGATTATCCGAATCGCAACATCCGTATACACTGACGTCAAAGTAAAGACAATTTTAATTTATGCACATACCACCACCTACGTTGAAATTCTTTTTATTTTATGCATAATACAGAGTTGCGATCGGATTCTATGGAAACGTCGAGTTCCGATGAAACCTGACTCGTGTGGGAGACGCGAAACGCGGCGATTAACGAATCCCGCGAACTGTTATGTACATGTTTCAGGAACGGTCCACGCACGAGAGAAGGCCAGAAGAGATGCCGTTGATGTACACGCCCACAAGGACGCCGGAGACCAGCAAACACAGCGTAACTGCCGCCGCAGCGACCGAGCTGCTGGCCCGTTCAGGCTTCCAGCCGTACCGGCCCGAACACCATCCGGCCCACGCTCCACCAGCGTTCACCCTGGATCACACGGCCTACAACCCTTATCACCCGGGTCTCTACCCACCGCCGCACCTCCAACACGCTTATAGGTAACGCATAGGACCGCTCATTCGTCCGTTCTTAGATCTCGCGGTACGTTTGTCATTGCATCGTATCGCTAACGTGTCTCCTTTACTCGTGCCACGCAGATTAGAGGAACAGTTGTATTTGGAACGGTGTGGAATGCTGAGACCACCGTTATTTCCCGGGCTGCCCTCGTACCCTTTATACGGGTTGAGATATAGCCCGGACATGCTGCCGGCCCCGTCCCTTGGACTGATGTCTCCCGCGATGCACGAACGGTAAGTTCGTAGAAGCGCGATGAACGGGGCACGGATATTTATGGGCTCGCGAAAAGAGTCTCGAGCATCCAAGAGGAGCCGTCCTCCGTCGCTCGCATAAATATCCGAGCATCGTTCCGCACCGATGAACGAAACGACGACGACGACGCGTAATACCGAGTAGAAGACGATTCCGTTTACGAACGATGCCGCGGTTCTCGTTTCAGACTGAAACTGGAGGAGGAACATCGGTTGAGGCAAGCACGGGAACAAGCCGCGCTCAGGGAGGAGGAGGAGAGGAGAAGAGCAGCGCGAAACACAGCTCCTGTCGCCCCGGTACCCGCGCCTGCACCTGCATCGGCCGATACTGCAGGTGAGCGAGTCGCTCCACCCCCCACTGCCTTTCATTAAAAAGAAAGCATCGATTACGAGCGATCGCGGGACTTCTGTCCGGTCGCTTGTTACGCGCGGAAATAACCTTTCTCTTTTATCTGTCTCTTTCTCTCTCTCTCTCTATCTCTATCTCTATCTGTTTCTTTCGCGAGCGCGTTTATGTACCACCAAGCTCGACGACTTTGACGCAAGGTCTTTTTATCGTGTTCTTTTCTTCTCTTACGGTCGTTTCTTTTCTCCTGCCACGAACAGTGGTAATGCGCTTATCCGTTCTTTTCTCCTCCCCCCTTACGGTCTTCCCTCCTTCGAGCTTCTTCTTCGCGCTTAAGTCGGTGCATTTGACGAGAGAACCGTAGAGACACCAGAACGATCGATCTTCCATGTATTTGTTCTCGGATTTGGTTTGAAAATCGGTGCCAAGCGATCGAAAACCCTCGACGACGACGACGACCGACGTCGCCGATAGCGTAACGCCATGAAAAGTTTCGAAGCGATCTGTACTGCGAACTGGCGAAGTAACGAGCGAGGAGAAGTCGTTTGTAGAAATATTAATATACCTCGACTGTGAATGGAATCGAAACGAAGAAATGAAAAAACATACTACGCTTCTAATTTTAATCTAGATATAATCAAAAGTTTATAGTCGTGTAGCCGATTGTTTCTCGTAAAGGATAGATATTTTTTAGGTAAGCGTCTAGCACGATGATATCGATTTGTTGTTAAGCTTTACGTTTACCCTTCGGATTTTATCGTTTCGTCTTGTTTTTCTTTTCACTCCTCTCCGTGGAATATCGTTTCCAAGCCAAAAATAATACCGTTGATCGCGCAACGGCAATCCCTCGCGAAACCTCTTTCTCGAACGCTTCGAAGTCGAGAAAGTGAGAAGTGCGCCGTGTCTATCCTGGATTCGCTGGGATTATTCAGAGGGCAGACGATAAAAAACGAAAGAGACGCGATTCGAGGTTTCGATTTAATCGAGACGGTTTTGTGTTGTGTCGACTCGTGGACCGAAGTCAGACTTATATCGGCGGCTACGACTGTCCGCGTTGATAATAAAGAAGAGTAAGTCGGCCTTCGGTCGGCCGCGCTTATCCGTTTGCATCGTGTTCGAAACATATACGTTCCAAATAATTTTTATAGCGACGGAACGTAGAACCTCTTAACCGTTGTACAATAATAATGATATTCATTAAATAGTTAATGATTTTGTAGTCACAGTAACGTCTTCAACGGCGAAACCTCAACATAAGAGTGCACATCTTTTCATGGAAAAGCTTTTCGACCTTCGTCGCCGATTCGTCGTTTGCTCGAAGGCCGATGTTGCGTAAAATCCTGTTTTCGTTCGAATTTATTGACGAGCGCTACTTTGCAAGTAGACGTTTCGTTCGTCACCGATAAGCATAATTTTGTGTTCTGCTCGCGTTTGCGCGCATAAAAATACGTCGATATCGCTGCAACCGAAACCGATAAAAAACGATAGTAGACGTTAATAATTACTATTAATAAGTTTGACGCTTTATTTTTAAGTTGCTTTCCTCTATTACCTCCGTTGTGGTGTTTTTTTTTTATCTTCTTTCTGTCGCTTTCCTTTTCTTTTTAGATAAAGTGTCTCTATATGACAACGATATTATTTCTACTTCACCTTCGACTAATGATCAGCGAATTTTTTTTTTTCTAGAAACATATAAATAGGAAAGCTAGACATCGTGATCTAATCGCTATTTTGCGAAACGAATCTAATCGTCAGTTTTTTCCGAAACTGAGTGCACTCTTGCGTTTAGTTCCCGCAACTGTTTTAGAAATTTGCAATTACTAAACGATCAGTGTCCGAATGATTTCTAATCGATTGTAGCAAACGTGTATTCCACCAGTTTATGGACTCGATCTACCTGTATATAACTTTGTCACACAATGTTCTTTTATCAAAATTATACCGTTTTTATATAATTTATTATGTAAACATGTATATTTGGACTATAAATGAAAATAAACATTGCAAAAAAAAAACGTGATCAAAATTCTGATCGACTTTGGAATTCTTGACCCTCGATTCATTTTCTGAAACAGTTTTGGGGAAGATTCAGCGATGCATCCCGAGCGATTCGAAGTTTCGGTTCCGTTAATTACGCGTAGTTGTCCCGAGGTGTAGCAAGCGAGAAACCGCTCTTCGACCGATCCATTTGCGTGATTTCGTTCGAGTTTTAAACGGCAATCATCCCCAATACTTCGAATTGAACGCGTCTCAGTCGTACTCCTCGTTGTAAGTGACTCGTTCCAAGCGGATCGCTCAGGTAAGTTGCAATCGGACTCACCTCGGAAGATGAGTTTTCCAATTCTAGAATTTTGCGAGAACTGCACGTTTTCTAACGAGAGATGCTGCGGCTAGGCTACAACGAACGAACGAACGAACGAACGAGATTCATAGGTCGATTCTAGAATGTATTGTCGAAGAACGCTTCTCCTCGCGCATGAATCCGGCGACTGTGCGACGTAAAACAAAACGGGAGCGAGAAACGAGTCGCCTCTCCTCCGATGCGAGAACCTCGCGATAATCGCCGTCGACGATCCCGTTATAGTCCACTAAACAGTAAGCTCGACGGCGGTAGATCAGTGGAAGATTACCAAGCATTGTGTTCGGGATTTGTTCCAGCTAGGAAGCCGACCATAGCGGCTCAGATGCATATCGAGCGGGAGCGAGAACGCGAGAACAGGGATCGTCCAAGCGGATGCGGCATCGGCTCGGGAATTAGCAACAACGCCAACGCCGGGAACGGTAGCGGCTTCGCCGTGGTCGGGTCTATCGGTAACGGTCACCATCAATCGAGAAAAGAGGAGCTGCCTTCCGCTCCTCCTCCTCCTTCTCCAGCTCCTGCGGCAACAGCCACGGGGCCAGCTCCGCCGTATTCAGTGGCGCCGACGGATCCAGCAGCGACGGCGAACATGTACCATTCGCGTTTGCCGGCGTTTCCGAATCCACCGGCATCAATTGCACCGCCGCCGCCGCCATCGCAACCTTCCTTGGGCTCGGCTTCTATCTGTTCCGTGAGCTCCGCGGCGATGCCGCCTCCCATGGCCTCGAACCTGCCCCCTATGGCCACCAGTCTGTCCTCTATGGGTACCAGCCTGCCCCCTTTGAACCTTAGACCACCGCCGGCCATAAGCTCGGCGCCTATCGGTCCGTCGCCTATTCCCTCTATAACCCCTATATCGTCCTTATCGTCGGCGGTGATAGGACAGCCACCGCCGCCGCCGCCGCCGCCGCCGCAGCAGCAGCAGCAGCAGCAGCAACAGCAGCAGCAGCAACAACAACAGCAGCAGCAACAGCAACCTTCATCCCTGAGCATGCCTCTGGCGCCCATCATTTCTATACCCTCCCTTCATTTGCCCCCCGTATCCTCGACTACCATTCATTCTAGTCAGCATGAACTAGCTGCGATAGCTAGCAGCCCGACAACCACGGTTACAACTTCTATATACCATCAGCAACAGCAGCAGCAGCAACAACAACAACAACAACATCAGGTGCTACAACCGCAACCATTAGTACCACTGCCATTGACGCTGCAGCAACGAAACAACGTCGCCGGCGGTGCGACCGGTACGACGAGTAGCAGCGCTTCGTCGAGTAGCAGCACGATGACTACGTACGGGACGTATACCTCAACAACGCCTAACACCGTTCAATCGATCGCGAACAGCGTGAATCACGTGGCTCCGGCTCATAAATCGCCGCCGTTGCCTCACAGCTTTCATTCAGCCTCGACGCGGACAAAAGACACGGTCCCGACGATCACGATCGCCAACGGTGGATCGACTACCGTCACAACGACGACTGCTGCCTCGGTCATCACACAGCAACCGGCTTTTGTCAGACCGTTCGAAGATTCCTTTCGTCCCACGTCGAAACCAGCACAAAGACCGATCGTGAGCAGCCATAATCACGTTATAACGAGTCAACAACACTCGTATCAAGATTCACCGATCAAATTGACCGTGACGACGACGACGACGACGACGACGACAACGGCGACGGCGACGTCTCAGGCGACCGCCGAGCGTAGCCAGGTGATCGTCGATAACTCGATTGCGGATAACGCGAAGGACAACACAGCTAATAATCAGCCGATTCTTCATCCGCAGCCTCAACATTTCCATCATCCGCACATACCCGTGTCGCATGTAGCCAGTCTGTATAAGCCGCAGCCGTATTTCTCTTCTTCTTCTTCTTCTTCTTCGTCTTCCCAACAGCAGCATCATTCTCAGCCGAAGATCAGCGTGCCGACGTTGAGTAACAGCGGCAGCAATAGCACGTCCGTGATCAGCACGAATTGTACGAAACAGAATTCGCATCATACCGGCGGCGATGCAAGTAGTCAAGCGGTGTCTGTGATAACGAGTCAACGGAGCGAGAATTCGTTGATGTCGCCGCCAAACGCCGTAAATTGTATAGTTCCCAACGAGAAAACGACGGGGAGCTCGAATCACAACGGTGGTGGCAACAACGGTCAGGCGTTGATCAACGGGAATAAAATCGTGAATCACGCGAATTCGCATTACAAGAACAGCGCGGACGCGTCGCCGATAAAGGAGATGAAAGTTAATTCGTGCGTCGTGAGCGAGAAGATCGAGGCACGCCAGAGTCAGCCGAGTCAGCTGGAGCAGAATCACGTAGGCAAGAATTCGGTTCAAGACGTCGTCGGTAAGGGTGCTCCGACTCCTCCCCCTTCGGTTTACGAGGAACAAGAAAACGGTTCGCTCGAATCTGAACCGGACGAAGAGATAATCATACCCGAGAAGGAGGCAATCATACCTGAGTCTGAGACCGAGATATCCGAGTCGGAGATCAACAAGATACAGCAGAGCGATCAGAACTTTTTGTCCACATTATCGTTTCGACCGAGTTTTAAGTTTAATATAAACGATATCGCGCCGAAGCCTATCGACACCGATCAGCTGATGCAGAGCATCCAGTCCGAGGAGGTTTTGCGTACCTGTCAGAACGTTTCGAACGTTCTGTTGCAGATACCAAAATACCAAGAGAAACTGTTGAATTTCTCGAACGAGCTGAAAACCGCATTTTGTTTCACCGACAAGTGCAATAATTTGACTGAGATTTCCGTGAGGTGCGAGCCAGCGGTGTTAAACGTGCCTGACCTGAGCAAGGCTCTAGTCAAAGAACAGGACGCGGCCAGCGATAAGATTTTCCTTGTACCTGAGAACCCGAAAGCGTTGACGTCCTCGTTGGATCTGGCAGAGAAACGAAGAAAGCGGAAACGGGCCAAGAACGCGGGGGGTCTCGTGTGCAGTTCCGAATCGGAGGGCGAGGAGGAGATCAAGGACGCGGATCTGTGGATCACCAAAGGTCCGCCGGCCAGGCCGCGGTATTCGGAGAAGAAGCTTGCTTTCCTCGCCATGTTCGGTCTGACCACGTTGAGCATGAAAAACGGTAAGCAGCTTCGGAAATGTACTATGCGTGAAAGGGTTACCACCCCCATACATTCTAATTTATTATTATTAGTAAATTTCCCAATTTCTGTCAACGTCACCATTTCCACTCACTGGCATATCTTTTGTATAATGATGATTTTGTATAATGACTCATGATGTATTTTGTTTATTCATAATGCGTCGGTGCAGAAATAGAGCTTTTTAAAGTGGAGAGGAGGTACAAGTTGAATCCGGATCCACCGGAAGTACCTTTGGACATGGACCAGTCGGTCGAATCCGTGTTACCTATACCGCAAGAACATCCAGACGTGTTGCGTTACACCCCTGATTTCCAGCCGAAAGTTGGATTTCTCAAGTCCATAGGCCTCGACTTGATGCCTCAGAAGAAAAGAGACGGTAATCGATCGATTTCCTCAATTTTTAAAAGCTGTGCGAAATAAGAGATGTGCAAAATAATTTCCCTTTTCCTGTTTGCAAAACACCTACAGAAGCGGAAGCAACGTGGCAGTACGTACTGCAGGATCGTAAGAAACGGAAAAGTAGGAACACGGTGACCGCGTACTGTGACAGAATCGCTAAGGTTTATTCGGAAAACCCGCCGAAGGTACCGAAACCGCCTAAGATGAGGCTTTTAAGCAAATTGAAAGTGAAGCAGCTTCCGGAACGGCCGCCGCCTATGCCACCTCTCGTTCAGAACATCGTCTCGATGGACTACTCCTCTTTGTCGCCTATGCCTGGTGAGAACGGCGTGAAACAACAGCAGCGTTGCAAACTTGTCGACATCAAGATCGTGGACGAAGATGTGGCGCTGACAGTCACCGATGGCAGCAGGAAAGAGACGACATCCAAATGGACCAGCATCGAGGATATCATGCTGGCTTACAGAGAATATTCCAAAGGTACACCCCAAAGATCCGATTGTTGAATCAGTTCCCTATTTCACGAAGAATTCTTAATCGTATAATTAATCGATTTATTTTCGTTTTCAGAAAAAGCGTTGGAGAAGAAAATTTTAATGTGCGAGACATCGAAGCTGGTGGCACGGTCGAACAACTTGCGGACCGAAACGCTTCAGCTGGAGCGAAGAATATACGACCTGTTGTCCGCGAGAACGGCTCTCGATTTGGAGAGGCGAGTGCTCAGCGAAAAGATCGAGAGGATCACCGCCCTTGTCAAGCACCTTAGGTAGCGACGCGTAACGCACAACACGGAAACTCATTCATCTGTGATATTATAAAGGGATTAAGGGTCGTTAGCGTACAGTACCAAATATTAAAAATCCTAACGATTTTACCGTTTGAAGCAGCGCAACAAGAGAGAGTTTCGCGGGAAACCGACCAAGTGGTGTACACAATTATTTTGCATCGTTTCGTATATCGTGCGGAAGAGATACGAGAATCTTACAATAGCAGCAGAAGCAGCCGGAGCTAGACACGTATCTTTCGTATTTCGTAAACGAAGTCGCGGGCACGCGGATAATCATATCAGCGCAGAGTTACAAGGGGGACATGTGAGAAATTGATAACGAGCTAACGTGAAGCGTGCGCTTCTTGACGGATAGCCGAGGAGGGTAGCTGCGCGCGCGATTCAACGACCTTCTACGATAATCGGAACTAACGGCTCTTAAACCCTAAGCTATAAATAATTGTAATTTGTATCATAATATTTTAACGAGGAATAGACAAATCGTGTAACTTATTTTATTCTGCGTAATGTGGACTCTATGTCAGATAATAACTCGAAACTGTACGATACGTCACGATTTATATACGAGTCGGTCGTCGAATAGTATACCTGAGTGTAAAAGAAGAGGGGAACAGCTAATCGGTTCACCGAAAAACGATTGCTCCAACGATTGCGGACACTTTCATTTTCTTCTTCTTCTCGTTTGTTAACTACCCTTATAAAATGAAAATAGTCGGAAAAATTACGAGACACGAACCACAGACTGCGATTGCGATAAATTCGTGTTCGAGAAGAAAGCGGGAGGGGAAACCCGCGTAGGAACGTAACGATTATTTTTAACTTAAAAGATCTTTCGAGATGGAAGTAACGACTCTAGTCTACGGACATTCGTAGAATACAGGAAAATCGCACCGTCTGATTGTACGTAATGATCAGAGTAGTGAACGATCCTTCCTTTTCGATGTCCACTGTTCACAGTAAATGAACGTGCGAAGGCCAGTGAATAACGAGAGAAAAATTAACCGTAACAGCAGTGAGGTACTTACGTAGGTAAAGTGACTTAATTTAAACGAAAACGTGAGACATCGCGCGAGCACATTCCACGAATTTAAAAAACGAGAACACATGCTTGTTACCCGACCTCTAACATTCCACGTTTCGAACAGTAATCGGATCATACAAAAGCAAAAGTGAGAAACGAACAGAACTCGTTTCACATCGGAAAAATGTCATTGCCGTTTTTCTTTTTTTCTACGTTCAACTAAATCGGCGCTACGCCACATTAATTTAGTATCCTTATACTTGTATCTCACTCGGCTCTCTGAGCGTACTGTTCAACAACTACGCGTCGTAACACCTCCAGTATGTACGATAATAATACGAAATCCATTTATAATTTTCATCATTTTGTTCATTGAGTGCCTAACGTTATCCTACATTTGTAAATATCATTATTTTTATGTATTGTATAACGAACCAAGACCAAGACGAAACATTTTTTGGTCTCAATTTGGCCAAAACAAGAGCCTAGGAGTAAATTGTTGAAAATATGAACATTGCGTACCTTTATTACCCCCATCTGTTCCGCGAATGGATTTCCGAGTACTGCGTCTTCAAAGTCGTCGGGCTATCAAGAGCTTTGAGATATTTATAGTTTTCTAATCTAATTATTGAGCATAATTATTTTAACACGTGAACCATTCAACTATTTTCACAATTACCTTATAATGAAATAATTGCAGACATCATTTTTTGAGATTTTTTTCTGGTAATGTCCGAATGTCATGAATTTTTAATTTAATTATATGCCTGATATTATGATCTTGGCATTTTTATTTCACGCGCATAAATCATGGGCAATTCTGAGTGTGAGAAGTTGAGATCGGAAATCATTATCCTCTTACCTAGATCATCGAAATGATCCTGCGCGTTGATAAACAGGAGCAAAGATCGCTTTAGATCGTTTTAGTATCATTGATGTGTAAAAAGTTATTCCTGTTAGAAATGTAAATTTATCGGTCGTTTTTTGTTATTAAAAACCATCTCAGTTGATAGAGAAAGTCAAAAAGATTAAAATGGCTTCTGATTCATTCCGATATCTCAAAATCAAAATCACCTCACTTCGGCTCTAATTCTTTTTCTGGGACACCGTATATATAAGCCGGCGAGCCGGCGAACGTGCGAAAAGGACAAAAAACGCCGAAAAAACTACGCTTGTTTTTACACGGCGATAGCTATCTCCGGAACGAGAAGTCCGACCGTTTTTCTACCTCCGTTTTTTTACCTTCGTTTTTTACCTGCACTTTTTTACTGCGCCGAAACCTCGGCGACTTTTTTCACGCGCTATGGGGAATGGGTAGGACAAAAAGCGACAAATATGTGTTAGTGAAACATCGGTGTGTCAGAAAAACGAATAGCACAGATAGACATGGACAGGCTGAGTTAGGTATAGGAGACCGGACTCCTTCGGTGTTGCCATTTTACTCTTAGCATGTCTAGGTATTAAAGAAGGCTGTGCATACACCCATCAAGTACTAATCCCCATTACTGGCGTGAGGGATTTTTCATAACGTTCATAACAGCCCTGCCCATGATGCACACCATCTGAAGTCAGATTTGACTAGTCGCCGGTCAAAAAACGGTCACTTTAGGCCCGCAGAATAGGTACATATACGAAGAGTAGCGAAAATCGTGCATGTGTTACAAAAATATATTAACATATCTTAAAGTTATTCGCATATTTTTTTATTTTTACATTGACTCGGCGCGTGACTGCGCCTACGCCAAACACGGTCGTACACGATCGCAACGCACCACACTGTGGTAAGTTAGCAAAGCTTGAGTCGCAGGTCCTAAAGTCCTAAGAGCTATACAAATCGAAGGTTAGACTGTACAAATTTTCTTTGTTGGCATTGACGACGATCGGTGATTGTCCCGCACAATCAGTAATGATAAATTTATGAATGAAATTTTCCACGAACAGATATGGCGTACAATATTTTAAGTCATGTTTCAAGCGGCACATTTTCAAAATTTCTCGTAAACAACGCATGTACCAGCAATTTGGGTTTGTAAGGAAATCGTGTATGACCCAGATTTATACATTTTCAGCTGTCGTTAATTTTATTTTATCATTATCAATAGTATGCGTGAGATATGCGTCAAAGAAGGCCAGCAGCAGTACAAGAAACAAACCTGATAATCGAAGGCCAAAACACAGAGGATGCCAAGTACATGATGGACATTATGTTCAAGACAGTACGATGTTAGTCAAGCAACTCAATCTTAGGTTCCATCCAGGATTATACGTATGTTCGCTCATACTCTCTGTTCTATCGATATTCAAACATATTCTTTTACGAGAACTACTTCACAGGTCGGCATTGGCAGAAATTGCACACTGTATGCCATGGAACCAGGGAAGGTGGTCATTACTTGTGAAAAGATCAATCCGAACATGAAATTATGGTGGTGTCGAGTGAATTACGGAGGTAGAGAAAATAGTGTTATATATAAAAAGCATTTTAATGTCATCCCTAATCCACAAGACAATAAGTTCATCCTGGTCGACACAGTTTGAATGTACAGGTGATGTTCATCTGCGATAGAAAATAAATCTGACCGTATCGAACGTTTTTTTCAAACACTTCCAATTCCGACGTTCTCTGCCCACTGAAACGACTGATATTTGACTGTGTCTCGATCTTCGAGAAAGAAAGTATACAATTGTGTCTTTCGCACGTGACATGCGATTCGACACTGAGCCGTGAGTTCGGTCGGTGCGATCTCTTCGTTCTTGTCTTTGCACGTGACTATGAACTGGGAATGAAACATTATAGGGTCTCCTGGAAAGGTACGAGAAATTGATCGATCTATTTTCATCTATTAACGATGTATTAATTAAGGAAGCCTTACCAGGATACGCTAAAAAGTCTCCTCCAAATTTATCACCTCCCGTTATATAGTATCCCCTTTCCCATAGATCTTTGTACGTTTCATATCGAAGTCTTTCTTTATCATTGGAAGGATGATTCCATTTTACTATTTCCACGTCGTCCTTGTTTGCCCATGGATACACTGAAAACATATTTACGTGAAGTATCTACGAGACGGAGGTAAACATTTTAGATACAAATTATTATTCCTTCATACCAGTATGAGTTTGAATCAGAGCTTCAGTTCTTTCTAACTTAGGTAGTTTAGCCATCTCTTCCTTCAGCAGCTCTTGCTTATTTATTTCTACATTATTTAATTCTTTCTGTGCTTTCGGGTCTAACGGCTTGCCGGCTCTCTTCTTTCTCGTATCCATTCCAAGTATCTTCCTCCTTTTACCTTCGACTATCCTGTCCATCATTCCGATCACCTGACAAAAATGCCAGCATTGATTTGTAACGTATTTATGCAGCATCAACGTGTACTTCCTTTAATTACTTGTTTCTCTCTTTCCATCCTTAAACATTTCTCTTGTTTTATGTACAATTCATTTCTATACTCCTCAAAAACTTGTCTCAATGAATCGGAAGGTGGCTCCTTTAAACATGGATATCGTACGAGCCTTGCGATGTTCTTCTTGAGTAACAGAGTCACTTCTTCCGATTGCAATAGCATTGGAAGTCCAGAAAGTACATCTTGCCTGGGTTTTTTTGGGAGGCAACCTATCAGTTCCCCGATTATTCTGTGATCTCTTCTAAGTTTTAACCAGTCTGAAAATAAAATGAAAGCTACATTCTCATGTTCATGAAAGGGAGATAACGAGATCAATACCTTCTGCACTCCACACGAAGACACTGTTCCCTGATAATATCAAGTCTATCATTTCTATAGGATTAAAATATGAGGACTGTATGTTATTTCACGTCGTTCGTTCTGGTTCTGATTAAAACGACCGGTTATAGCTGGTTGCAGGTATATAGTACGCGTGTAATAGGAACTGTTTTCGACCGGCGAAAAGTGTAAGAAGTAATTTTAGTAAGTCTGCCATTTATTCGTTTCGTATTCGTTCGAAAAGACCGAGAAACAAATACGCTGCTCTCTGTCTGACCTTCTGACTATACAGTTTTGTATACAACGTGCATGAAATGGTATAAAGTGTAAAATAAGAGGTATGGCGGCTCGTAGTCTGATTCCCCCTTCCGTCTTTGGAAGTCCACCCCCCCTCGCCCACAAGTCTGTTTCATGCACCGTCCTTCAGATCCATGGTACTGTCGTACTGCGGCCATATTAACGCCCTATCAGGCCGATTTCTACCCTAATACGGCTGAATACGGTAATACGGCTATACGGCATCGCTGGTCACTACTGGTCGCCAAAGGAGAGCTACTACGTCCGTTTTAGTTCTAAAATCCTCGATACCGTCATGGCACCCGGCTTTATGATTTTTTGAAGAAACTCCAAACACGTTCGCGATCAAAGTCGTTTCGAAAACTGTGATTTATCTCGTGCCCAAGCGTTCGCTCGTATTTGGTAAGTAATCAAACGACACGTCGATGATATATTTGTTTACCAATTGCATAACGAACAAACGTGTAAACCGGAGTCGGAGGGCAAGGGTCCTTCGTCTTGAACAGCTGCTCATTTTTCTGGGTAACCTTTGACACCGAAACGTGTGTCGTTTCATTTCGTCCGGTCGATCTTACGTCGTTCGACAGCCGATGTTCTACTAGCACGAAACAACTTTTGTGAAGAATAAATGATACTCGTCGAAAAGTTAACGTTCTATGCGTTTGTTCGTACGCTTTGATTCGACTGTGCACTACTTCTTTATCTACTTCCTTTCCTGGAGGACGTTAGTGATATCTATCTGTTTGCCAGGAACATGAGTTCAGGCAGACCGATTAAGTGTGTGGTGGTCGGAGACGGAACGGTGGGAAAAACATGTATGTTAATATCATATACGACAGATAGTTTCCCAGGGGAATATGTCCCCACGGTGTAAGTACCATGATCCAACTTATTTACATTATTTCTTTACGTATAAGTAGTATCAAATAAAGGGAACAGTGGTATCTTAAAATACTTTTCAATTGTACGTCTGTACAAGAAGTTTCTCGCTGTCCGTTTCTTTCTCGGAGCAGCGAAGTAGCATTGCCAATAATAGTAAGTGATACCTCTTTGCTCAGGAACAGGAGGCGATACATTCTGCTGTACACTTTTATGGTTCCTCTAAATCGTGAAATGTCTCTCCCCGATATGACTTGCTACTCTAGAACAAATGTAATTATCACTGCTAATTTTATTTGACGATTGTAGATTTGACAACTATTCCGCGCCTATGGTCGTGGACGGAATACCTGTCAGTCTAGGACTTTGGGACACGGCAGGCCAAGAGGATTATGACAGGCTTCGTCCACTCTCGTATCCACAGACCGACGTGTTTCTGATCTGCTTCTCGGTCACCAGTCCCTCCTCCTTCGAGAACGTTACCAGTAAATGGTACCCAGAGATAAAGCATCACTGCCCGGACGCTCCGATGATTCTCGTCGGGACTAAAATAGATCTGCGAGACGATCGCGAAACGCTCACCGCTCTGGCCGAGCAGGGCCTGAGTGCCATAAAACGTGAACAGGGACAGAAGTTGGCGAACAAGGTCGGCAATCGAATCGTTATGCAGAATTTCTAGAATAGCCGGTCCGATATGTAAGTCAATTCTTACTTTCATTACAGATTCGCGCAGTGAAGTACATGGAGTGCTCTGCGCTGACGCAACGCGGTCTGAAACAAGTGTTTGACGAAGCGGTCCGCGCCGTTCTGAGACCTGAACCTCAGAAACGCAGACAGAGAAGATGCATTATGTTGTAAACCGTAAATAATCAAGATCCGTTGTAGGTAAAACCATATATAAATTGACAGACTGAAATGAAGTTTCTCACGAGCAAACGGAGCGAAACGAAACGAAACGAGGAAGAAGACGTTTCGCGGAGAAGGTAGTAATCTTATGCATTTTAATGAATTCCTCTGGCAGCTATATAGTTCGTTATGCTATGAACAAAGTACAACTGATCGTTTCTAACGCGCAAGTTGGAAAATTACTATGAATCTAAGAAAATTGAAGCAACGAGAAAGTACTGTTCCGTAATTGTTATTTTAACCAGTATTCACTGCATTTAATCGATTAGAAAAGGTTGCAAACCTCCGCATACCCGAGGTGGTTGTTTCAATTTTACATTGATTTCTATACGTTGATGTACTAGTCAAAGGTCGATATATCGTATTGCCTGCCATTATATTTTTTATTTTATACTTTTATAAAATGACGCCTCTCATTTTCCTTGATACGGCAATTTAATCAGCGTCGGTGAAACAATGAGATCCCGTGACTCAGACGAGGGCTGCCAGATTTCAAAATTTTTATACCATAAATAGTAAAGAGGAAGAAACATTCTTTTATTATACACATACGATAGGTATTACGATCAATATACTAACAATTTTTATAAAATGTAAAATAGAGTTATAGAATTATTTAAAGAGACAGTGCCATAGCAACGAAGAAAGGAATCAAATCAAATCGGTGAACGCGAACGTTTTTTGTCAGTTCTAGACAATATATTCCATGTATTTTATTACACGAGTCATAGTAGAGAGACGAGAAGTAACGACGGATATTAAAAGGAATTGAGAAACCTCGTAATAAGAAGTATTTTGTATTTATCTTAAAACTTTTGATAAATATTGCGATTTTAATATTTCTTTACACCCACTGACTAACGATGAAAGGGGACTTACGTCATGTATAAAATACTGCCAGCGCGAATATTCATAAACGTTTGTATGGCACACCACCTTATTGTCTAGAATTCGAACATTTCTCTTATGATCACGACACAACGTACATCGCACCATATTATTTCGTACTTCGAATGGAATTTATTACAAGAACGCTTCGAACGTGTTTCCGTTGTTGCACGTGGCAGATTTCACGGATTGTTGCACTGGTACAGTCTGTTTCCAACACCGAGGGGCTCGAAATTATTTTTCATAAAAAAAAGAAAAGAAACACGCGAATAGAGCGCGTCGCGGAAAGAATAATCAAAATATATATTGAATTATATCTAAGAGAATGAAATATATACCAGTGACAGACACATGGTGCAAAGTATGCTTATAATACAGAGAACATAGCACAATTTATTTTAAAGAGTGATCAACCATGACAGTTTTAAATCTTCGATTCACTATTTTTATAAAATTCATTTACATCGATATTTACATTGAAAAGGAAAAGATAACACGTTTCGCGTTAACGAACACGTTGTACGAAACGGACACATCTTTCTCTCTATCTTTCCTCTTTTGTTTTTACGTGTGAAAATTACTTACATATCTAATATATGCTTACGTCTAATTTATTATATTGTGGACTTTTCCTCGTTATATTCTGTGACGTACTTCGTTTAAATTAATCTTTAAACGTTAATCGGATAGATATTATTATACGCTCTCCATGAAGGAATTCGGTATGGAAAATAGTATGACGGTGGATGACAAACATTGCACCACCGTTCGCGAGCACATGCTATTTTTCATATCTCGAAGGAAGCTTGGAATTTAGAACGGTAGGACATGCGTGCCATATGCTTTCGAGTCTCGTTTCTGTTCGTACTCAATGTGAATCTCAAAATGAAAGATGCATCATCGTATTTAGAAGGGTAGAAGAGAGAACTGGGCGGATCAAGGACGAGGCATATTAATGCTTGCTGAGTGTACATACTGTAACATAGTGGTAACGTGCTCTAAGTTTCGATCGACGTACATAAATTGGCAGCGTCTCTGCTTCGCTCTACGTAGTCTAGATCGGTCTTTAAAACGATCCACCACCGTGCGATTGAAGCGTAGGGCATGTCGTAAAATGTTTGCAGTAAGCTTTCTCACACTTCGTTGTACTTGCTACGCTGTTTAAGAACGGAATTTCTTTCGCGTTTTAATTAAGAATGCATTCGTAGTTCCTGAGTGAAACAATTGTTTGTTCGAACGTTTCGGGCATATGAGCACAATCGAACGCGTCGAGCCTAGGACGTTTTTTTAGATCATGTACATACGTGCGTGCATGAGCGATACGTTTGACATAGGAAATGAATCAGGTACGGACATGTCTCACGCGGTGGGTTTGCATTTATTGTAAGTAGTGCATTTATTTTACGATCTATCATCGAACCGTGTCGGGACAGAAAGATCGTTTGCGAGTAAGGGGGAAAGGAAACAAAGCACAATCTTTTAAATAGTATTTATCGATATTTAATTTTTAAGATCAATACTCTTTTGCAGTATTACGATGTAAATAAAAATTTTATTCTATTAATCGAACAAAAATTTACTGTCTATACCTGAAATCGTTCGCGTATACTATGTTTAAACCTACGTTTCACTGTAATTAAATGACTAGCTTTATTTTAAGCGCGTCGAATTCGCGACAGCTAATAATGAAATGTAAAGCGTGTTCTCTTAACGTTTACATACGACGTTTCTCTTTTTACACAGTAATAGAGTTCGTACGATCGATAGTTGCGGGTTGGTAAGATGAATCACACTACTTACAACTTGTGCATGTAACGAAAGGCTTTTAACAACGATTGAGTCTCTCGAATTATTTAAAAGCGACAAACGAAGGAACGATGCTGCAAGCCAAAGTTCAATGTTACTTTTAATCTACTGCTCGTAATGTTTTATTAAGCGTACAAGACAGGAATGTATGACGTGTAAAGAAAATGTAATCTAGTCACCACGATTTTCATTTTATTTGTATGCGAAGCGTTTCATGGAAATGGTTTATGTTTGAACGACACCGGAACGAATAAGCATTATTGATTGGAAACGAAATGTAACGAAAGAATCTGAACGAGAAGATGAATGATTGAAAGTAATCGAATCTAAATTCCTTAGGATATCGTCAATTCGAGTGAAACAGGAGAAACTGAGCGAGAATAGGAAACGCGTTAGAGATACAAATGTATGTACATGTACCGAGCAAATTTAATTACCGCGGTAACTTATGAACATCACGTTTTATCTATTTTCTTAAGGTTTCTGTAAGATCACTAATTCCTGTACGAAATAAAGTATTCTACAGCACAAGAGAGCATTATGTCGATACAGAATAATTCATACTCGTTCGTAAGAATAGAATAATGTTTATTGTATTTTCATGAATGAACTCTTTTGCTGTTTATACAGAAGTGGCTGGACACGAAGATGAACAAATACTTCAGATATATCGTTTCAACTATTTTCTTATGGAAAGTTCGAATCCCAATGTTGAGAATCGTATTATCAAAATGTATTGAACCAAATGATACATGAATGCACGTTCTACGTACTATTGGAAGGCAATTATATTTTTATTTGTGTATTTTAAAAAGAATATCTCACAATAAAGTACACAATGAAACATTCGTATTTAATCTTCGCACAAGGATTCTTAAGGATATATTGGCTATACAGGCAGTCCCAAAAGTTTGTGCACTTTAGAAACGAATTTTTGAAAAGAAATCAGATGTCGGAAGAACATTGCTAATAATAAACAATAAAACAAAATTTTCGATTTTTCCGAGATTTTTCCAAAGGGGTTAGCCTTCAGATTTTTGCAAATTTCGTTCTTCCTCGATAACTCCCGAACGGATGGTCGTAGGGG